TCATTTTTGAGTGATTCAAAAAACTTACCTCTTACTTTGCACACTGGTTTAGAATTCTTAATAGCCATCTGGGAGTACAGTACTTCCATCATAGAATGAACCAATACTTTTATGGAGTTAAGAGATATACTTTTTCCACAGAATGACCAGTCATTGTCTGTCCTGGACTAGTATTCAGTACCTCGCTATCATGAGGCTCTGAATTCCATTTATTTTCTGTTCTCTATTAGCACATGATTTCTACCTTGAACCACCATCCAGTGTGAAATGGTGCTAGAGTTTAAGCCATCCCGTATCAGTTTCAAAAAGGAAGTAGGGGGAAGAGGGAAGGACATAAAAATCTGAAAGAAAAGTGGATGTCAGGATTGCAACATCAGTCTTATCCCTGATTTCTTCAACTCGATTCATAGATATTGTTAAAAGGCTTTTAGAGTTCCTAGCGTATCTTTCTACTTTGACCCTCTAAAGCAAAAGTTTTATGATGACTGTTCTTTCACAGTATTGACTAGAGTATTCTTTATCATAGTGTTTTTCTGTAAAAGTTAGTTCTTCTCATTGGTAATTAGAAAGAATATGGTTTTTGAATTTTAACAATTCAGCAGCCTAATGTATGTACAAGTTAATTTTTGTGTGAGTTATACAGCACTTAAAAGATCGATTTCTTGTTTTTGTATTAAAAATCATGGGTATTATATATTCTTTGCAACAGTTTTTGATTTAAAAATTTGTGACTCTCTATTCACTTATTTTTGCTAGTTCTTGATAAGTTGTTTTTAAAAAGGAATTTATTTTTTGAGTTTAATTCTTTGTCTGTTTCTGCAGACATGAGGCTTTTTAAGTTTTCTTAATGTGTTCCTGGATGTTAGTGGGTCTATTAAACAAAAACTATATCTTTTATTTGTGAATAGCTTTATTTTAACAAAAGCATTTATAAGTAAAAGCATACTTTATAAAGATGTTAAGATATGAATATGTCATAGCATTGGAGTTAAGAATAATTTTCCTTTGAAAATAGCTATGAGTTTGAAGACTTTAAAAGAAGCAATTTCTCTGTTTCATGATAGTAATAGTAGCAATATATTTTTCCATTTACTGATCTGTAAGCCTAACATTGTATTATCCAAATGATCCAAACCATATAAAAATGTTAAATTCAATCTTTCAATTTTTTACATCCATGGGTTAAAGAAATATTTTATGAAGGACACTGCAAAAGAACAGTCAGATCACCTGTGCCTCATCTTTTTGTTTTTTTTCAACGTACCAGTCTTTTGTATGAACCATATCATAAGCACTGTTCGCTTATTTATTTGTTGATAGACACTTGGATCGCTTCCAGTTTTTGATCATGTGAGAAATGTTATGAATATACAAACATTCCTGTTGGGAAAGAGTCAATGCAGACAATCTTGTTGTGCTCTACAGGACTTGTATTGCTGATCCTTGACCAGCTCTTTTCATCTTGTAAAACTGAAATTCTATGCCCATTAAATCGTAAATCCCCATTCCTTTCTCCCCTTCAGCTTCTGATATACCACTGTTATGGCTCCTGTCTAGCTGTCCCCCTAAAGCCTCATGTGGCCATAGGTGGGGCTTTTTCAGAGGTGCCTGGTTCTAGAGTTTGTGATTGATTCACAGTGCAATGTAGGATTAAGGGTGCTGAGATTAAGGCTGTGAGCGCTCTCCACCCTTACAGATAGCACTGGATACAAAATAAGGAACAGAAAGAAGCTTGCTGCTAGTTACTTGTAGTTTGTTGCTTGCTTACCTTTGCTTTCTCCTGTCCACCATGAACTGTTTCTGCTCTGCAATGCTTCTCTGCCATGCTAATCTGCCCAGGAGCCAGCCAACTATGAACTAAAATCTCTACAAACTGTGAGCGAAATTAACCTTTCCTCCTTTAACTTTGGGTGTCAGTTATTTTTTCTTAGAAGTGAGAAAAGTAACTAAGACAACCACCATTCTTTATGTCTCAATGATTTTGATCTAAGTATCTCATACAAGTGTAAGCAGACAATATTTGTCTTTTTGTAGCTGGCTTGTTTCACCTAGCATGATGGTCTCAGAGTTCATACTGCAGCACATGAACCTTACTTTTTAAGGTTGAACTTTGTTTAATTTTGTGTATCATGCCAGATTTTCTTCATTTATCTATCAATTGACATTTGGGTTATTTCTACATTTTAGCTATTGTGAATAATG